GTCAATATTTGTGTGGTCCAGTTACAAAACCTGGACTTTAAATGAGCATGTCTTACTTCAGGTGTAAATGCTCAGTACACAAACCTCTATGTCTCTCTCAGAGCATTCAGTGTAAGTGTATGTGATTCATACTCTATACAGAGGTTAGGGCTGTAACAGAAAAACACTGAATACATTAGTTTAGCAATTCTATGAACAAAATTATTTTAGTATCAAATCACTGAATCATCCCTCCATTCTAGCTTACATGTCCTTATTTTGCCATATTTTTTTATGTTTCCTATAGTCTCATATTCTCTCACTTTTATTTTGTGAAATTCATGTTTAAACAGTAAGAAAATAGAGTTCATTGCTTCAATTTTTCCTGCATTTTAGGTGAAATTCTGTGTCCTGTGCTGATATAAAAACAGAAAAAAAAAAAAAATCCTCCATACAACCTTTAAGTAACTTTCTGATGTTTGTTCTAATGTTATTTCCTCATCCCAGACAGACCTGGAGCTGTGTTTCGTTTCATTCACACATGTTTAACACACAAACCTTGAATATTAAGGCTGAGTTCTTCTCTCAAACAGAAAACATTGTGTTCCACCAGGATTACTCATACATGTGAATGAAACAAAACACAACTCCAGGAATTAGAACATGGCCAAAAGCTCACGAGAGTCAATTTTGTGTAATATAGAACCTTTAACTTTTCTTCTCCAACTGACACTTGACTAACGGAAAACTAACAAATATTTACCACTATGTCATCAAAGTATTAATTAGAAACAAACCTGTCATATAGCACTTTCAACCTACACATCCACAAGCTGCTCTCACTTTCTTCCAGCTCTGGTCATCATAGAGACAGCCAAAAAACCTTGGTGACAGCTGGGACTCAGTGGAGCGAATCCTTCACCTGTAAACTGGGTGTCCTCCAAAAGAAGAAAGTCAACACAACAGGAAACCAAAGAGGAAACAAACTTCACCAAAAAAACTCCAAGAGATCTGAAAAGGCTTTGAAAATGTACAACAAAAACACTTCATTTGAGATATGGGACTTTAAAGTCTAAGTTTGTCTGTCTCTAATGCAGGCTCACGGTCAAGTTTAAAGCTACATTATGAAACTTGAATGCTGTTGTTGTGTTGTTGGGCAAGACACTTAACCCACCTCAGCCCTAGTGTCTGTGTACACTGGTGTGTGAATGTGTGTGTGTATGGGTGACCATTGTGACCATTTATCATTTAAATCAGGAGTGGGTAATTCTTTTTTCCATGGGGCCACATGAGAAACAGAAAATATTGTGGAACTCAATCCTGCATAAAATTAGCAGTTCCTTTTATTTTTTTATTCCTTTATAAAAAGCAGTAAATAACATAGTTTTGACTCGCTGGTCAGACTGGTAAGAGTTTATGTTATGACTAAGCAATGAAAAAGTGAGGTTTAAAAAAAAAAAAAAAACAAAAAAAAAAAAACAATGCAGCTTCAGTCCATGCATGAGATAAAATTATAAAATATGTTTATTTTGTAATTCCAAATTAGCTTAAGCAGGCCGTCAGAGTCAAGCAAAGGGCTGTTTGTGGCCCAGGACCTGTCAATCATTTATTCTTCTGAGAGCAGGGTCGCCTTTCCACAGATCTGACCTGTGACTTGTAAGATCTCCATAGAGATAACAAAAGTGGACTAAGGGAGTGTGATGTCACCCACAGTGTTCAGCTGTAGTAAAATGAAGCTCACGAGGCGAGTGGTTCTGAGCTGAATTTGGAGCTGAGTTCTATATTAGGAATAGGAATTATTTATGGACAAAATAGTGAAATAAATCACCAGGATCATGACAAGTGGGTTAATATGAACATTTTAACACCAAAATGAAGAGGCTCACTGCAGCAGTTACAGAGAGGAAGGACCATTTTTCACTGTGAAGTCAATTGGAGTCGATGGAGCAGAAAGCACATCCACTTCCTATTTGGAACGTGGCGGCTGCCAGGTTTTCTATGTCCATTTATATACATACATTCTATGCTCTAAACACTACCTGGACTACTGAGAGACGACACACACATCTCCAAATACATGGTAAACAATCCATCCACATGTTCCACAGTCACTGTTTCATGTCATGACTGGTGTGTGAGTGTATTCTGCTCTGCCTCTTGGACGGGTCGTCACTGCAAATGTCAGTTTACCAGATAAACTGACTTACCTGGTAAAATACTGAATAAATAAATATGTATATATAAAAACAGTGCACCTTTATTTATATTCCCAATCCATACATTTCAGCACACTTCCACACTTCCTCACACTTTCACACTTCCTCACACTTCCTCACACTTCCTCACACTTCCTCACACTTCCATACACTTCCATACAGTTCGTCCCACTTCCGTCCTCCTGCGTCTCACCTGGTTGATGTGTTTGAGTTTGTCGATGATCTGACTGATGACGGGTTCTAGAGGTTTGTTGTTCCGAGTCTCAGGTCCAGAGTGAGACCTCTTCAGACCTGGGACAGAAAACCTACAGCACAGAAAGAGAGGAGAGGTTAGAGCTGCAGGAGAGAGGAGAGATGGAAGGGCTTATGGCGCCATCTTGTGGCAACTTATGGAATGACACTTTTGATTTATATGAACAGTATTATTATAATTATAAACTGCAACATTTACAAAAACAAATTACTAGCCTAAAATTGATTGAACACATTTTTAAAATTTTGTTCATTTGAAAACACCTTCAAAATAAAATATTGTAACACTATAGAGCAGGTAGTTGACTACTTATTTAATAATATTATGAATGAATTAATCATATTTATTATTTTCTTTCTCTCCCTCTATAAAAATATGATTGCTGCTGTTTGTTATTAAAATAATAATAATAATAATAATAACAATAATAATTTCAATACTTTTATTTTTTATTTAATTTTTTTGAAAATCAGTTTAATGCTGTGGTTATTCAACTTACCAAATACAAAAACAAAAACTACAACTACACGTTTACCTCAGGACTAATCCAAAAATGATCATATCTGTTCTCCACTGGGTCTGAATAAGTGCAGTATAAAAGCTGCAGCTGCAGTTTAGACGTTTATACTCTCAGGTTCTAAAACGAACAGGATTCTTCATGAGTTTAAAAGTAAAAACATAACTCAACATTGTTTAAGACTAGAACAGCACCAGAGTGAAGTCTTGTCCACCACAGGGACCAGGACCACAGTTTGAGAACCCCTGGTGTAACGTATGATGTCATGTCTCTCACCTGTTCAGCCTATTCACTGTGAACATCCGTCTTCATTCAAACTCACACTCTCTGCCCTGGATTACATTTATATATATTTATATATTTCTACTTTTCTACACTTTCTAGTGAGACATGAGCTCACCTCCACTGCTCATGCTAATGATCACATAAATAATGAAAAGATGTGAGCCATTAGAAGAGGAACCAGGAAATCTGTGGCAAGAGAGGGAGAAAGAGAGGGATGGAGGGATAGAGAGAGAAAGAGGGGAAAGGGAGGATGGGAGAGAGAACAGCAAAGAGAGAGACAGGTGCAGAGGGAAATAGATAAGAAAGAGAGAAAAAGAAAGAAAAGAGGGAGAGGAGAGAGAAACAAAGAAGGGGAGGAGGACAGACAGAGAAAAAGAATCAAAGAGGGGGGAGGAGAGCAAGGTTTAGAGAGAGAGGGAAGGATAGAAAAAAAGAGAGAGGGAGGGTGAAGAGGGAGAAAAAAGGGTGAAAAGAGGTTTGAAAGGGAAATGGGAGGGGAAGGGAAGGGAGGATGAAACAGAGGAAGAACAAAGAGAGAGAGAGAGGGAAGTAATTAAAAGAATAGAGAGACAGGGAGACAGAGAGAGAGAAATAGATGGAAGAATGGAAGAGAGAGAAAGCTGCTGAGAGAGAGAGAGAGGGGGGTAGAGGGAAATAGAGAAAGAAAGCAAAGAAGAAGAGAGAGGGGAGTGAAACAAAGAAGGAGAGGAGAGAAAGAGAGAGAGAATCAAAGAGGGGGTAGAGAGAAAAATAAAGAGAGGGGGAGGGATACAGTTAGACAGGGAGAGAAGGAGAGAGCGAGGGTGAAGAAAAGAAAAGGGGGACAGAGAGAGAGAGAAAGGGGGATGAAGAGATATACAGGCAGAAAAAAGAGAGAGACTGAGGCGTGAGTGTTTGAGTCAAGTGAAGTAAAGCAGGTTAGAGACATACTTCATACTAGAGGGTTTATTCTTGACAATTTCAGGACAAAATGTTTTCTCTAAAGACAATATTAAAGAAAAGAAAATAATAATAACTTTAACCCAATTCTTATGTATGTCAATGAGGAATGAATCATCAGGTCGGAGTGTAAGACCCACTTCTACCTTCACCGTCTGACCCACTTTTGTCAAACTTCTTCTACATAATTACAACTATTACCACTTCCACAAATTACCACTTGCTGCACAGTTGTAGGGAGTATTATCTCTTACATAAGTGTGAGTTTTACAGCTGTAGGGAGTATTATCTCTTACATAAGTGTGAGTTTTACAGTTGTAGGGAGTATTATCTCTTACATAAGTGTGAGTTTTACAGCTGTAGGGAGTATTATCTCTTACATAAGTGTGAGTTTTACAGCTGTAGGGAGTATTATCTGTTACATAAGTGTGAGTTTACAGTTGTAGGGAGTATTATCTGTGTAACAGTTGTAGGGAGTATTATCTTACATAAGGTACACTGTAGGGAGTACTGTTGTAAGTGTGAGTTGTAGGGAGTATTATCTATTACATAAGAGTGAGTTGTTGTACAGTTGTAGGGAGTATTATCTATTACATAAGAGTGAGTTGTTGTACAGTTGTAGGGAGTATTATCTATTACATAAGAGTGATTTGTAGTACAGTTGTAGGGAGTATTATCTGTTACATAAAGTGAGTTGTTGTACAGTTGTAGGGAGTATTATCTGTAACATAAAGGTGAGTTGTTGTACAGTTGTAGGGAGTATTATCTATTACATAAGAGTGAGTTGTACAGTTGTAGGGAGTATTATCTGTTACATAAGGTGAGTTGTTGTACAGTTGTAGGGAGTATTATCTATTACATAAGAGTGAGTTGTTGTACAGTTGTAGGGGAGTATTATCTGTAACATAGGGGTGAGTTGTTGTACAGTTGTAGGGAGTATTATTTACATAAGAGTGATTGTTGTACAGTTGTAGGAGTATTATCTATTACATAAGAGTGAGTTGTTGTACAGTTGTAGGGAGTATTATCTGTACATGGGGTGAGTTGTTGTACAGTTGTAGGGAGTATTATCTGTTACATAAGGGTGAGTTGTTGTACAGTTGTAGGGAGTATTATCTGTACATAAAGGTGAGTTGTTGTACAGTTGTAGGGAGTATTATCTGTTACATAAGGGTGAGTTGTTGTACAGTTGTAGGGAGTATTATCTGTTACATAAGGGTGAGTTGTTGTACAGTTGTAGGGAGTATTATCTGTTACATAAGGTGAGTTGTTGTACAGTTGTAGGGAGTATTATGTTACATAAGGGTGAGTTGTTGTACAGTTGTAGGGAGTATTATCTGTAACATAAGGGTGAGTTGTTGTACAGTTGTAGGGAGTATTATCTGTTACATAAGGGGTGAGTTGTTGTACAGTTGTAGGGAGTATTATCTATTACATAAGAGTGAGTCGTTGTACAGTTGTAGGGAGTATTATCTGTAACATAAAGGTGAGTTGTTGTACAGTTGTAGGGAGTATTATCTGTACATAAGGTGAGTTGTTGTACAGTTGTAGGGAGTATTATCTATTACATAAGAGTGATTTGTAGTACAGTTGTAGGGAGTATTATCTATTACATAAGAGTGAGTTGTGTACAGTTGTAGGGAGTATTATCTATTACATAAGAGTGAGTTGTACAGTTGTAGGAGTATTATCTGTACATAAGGGGTGAGTTGTTGTACAGTTGTAGGAGTATTATCTGTAACATAAGGGGTGAGTTGTTGTACAGTTGTAGGGAGTATTATCTATTACATAAGAGTGAGTTGTTGTACAGTTGTAGGGAGTATTATCTGTAACATAGGGTGAGTTGTACAGTTGTAGGGAGTATTATCTATTACATAAGAGTGATTTGTAGTACAGTTGTAGGGAGTATTATCTATTACATAAGAGTGAGTTGTTGTACAGTTGTAGGGAGTATTATCTGTAACATAGGGGTGAGTTGTTGTACAGTTGTAGGAGTATTATCTGTTACATAAGGGTGAGTTGTTGTACAGTTTGTAGGGAGTATTATCTGTACATAAAGGTGAGTTGTTGTACAGTTGTAGGGAGTATTATCTGTTACATAAGAGTGAGTTTTGTACAGTTGTAGGAGTATTATCTGTACATAAGGGTGAGTGTTGTACAGTTGTGGGAGTATTATCATTAGTTGAGTTGTACAGTTGTAGGGAGTATTATCTGTACATAAAGGTGAGTTGTTGTACAGTTGTAGGGAGTATTATCTGTTACATAAGAGTGAGTTGTTGTACAGTTGTAGGGAGTATTATCTATTACATAAGGGTGAGTTGTTGTACAGTTGTAGGGAGTATTATCTGTTACATAAGGGTGAGTTGTTGTACAGTTGTAGGGAGTATTATCTGTTACATAAGGGTGAGTTGTTATACAGTTGTAGGGAGTATTATCTGTTACATAAGGGTGAGTTGTTGTACAGTTGTAGGGAGTATTATCTGTACATAAAGGTGAGTTGTTGTACAGTTGTAGGAGTATTATTACATAAGGTGAGTTGTTGTACAGTTGTAGGGAGTATTATCTATTACATAAGGATGAGTTGTTGTACAGTTGTAGGGAGTATTATCTGTTCTATGAATGTCTGAATCGTCTGTATGCATTTGTTGTTTAGAAATTAGTTTGACAATAATAATAAATCAATCAGATGTCCTCCCTGGGTTATACTTCTGTATATTTCTTGAGCAGATATATAAGATATTTGTAAATTGTTAGTGTTAGTTTGTTCAGACTGTAACGGTGATATGATTGACAGGCCTGTACCACGTGACCCACAGATGTGCTTCACTGTGGGCCTGATCTCGCAGGATGAGAGACGTGATACAGACAGACACTTTTGTATTCACATGTGAGGAAGAAAGTTTCTTATGTGATCATTTATTTTTACACATATTGTGCAAAAAGAACTATTTTGAGTTTTTGCTCATTAAAAATTAAACCGTTGTTTCATGTGTTAGGTTTATAAGTTTGTCTTTCTTGAGTTTAAATTTTCCCTGGATTATTACGTCACAGTTAAAATCCCCGAGGTCTCCTGCTGCTTTTAAAGGTGCACTATGTAACTTTTTGGTTATGGGGTTCACCTGCTTGTTTCTATGGATATGTCAGTGCTCTGCCTGGAATGTTCCACAGTGTGGCATTAAACATCTCTACCTTTTTTTTTAAAAAAAATTAAATTACAGGTGGGTTCATAGCTCAAAAATAGCTAGAAAAACAGGCATTTTGACTGTGAGCAGGGTCGCCTCTCAACAGATCTGACCTGTAACCAGTGTTGG